TAGTCTAACTAGTCTCACTAGTCTAACTAGTCCCTCTAGTCTCTCTAATCTAACTAGACTCACTAGTCTCTCTAGTCTAACTAGTCTGACTAGTCTAGCCCCTTACAGGTGGGCAGAGCATCCAGAGGTTGTACTGCAGTAAGAGTATCACTTCTTCAACTTGTCTTTACTCAAGTGAAAGTAAAATGTACAGCAGAGCGACTCCTGGAAGTACATTTTTCAACAAAGTGAAGTAAATGTAACTAATTACTCCCCATCTCAGACAGTGAATCCAGCGCTGAGTTAATATGTTTCACCGGCTTCCCTTATTGGTCGGGAATTTTGGTGAGAGATTAAACAGCAATAATTTATGTTTTGTTTCTTTCGCAGTTTGCCATACTTGGCATCCTTTGCATTCTGTGTGAGAAGGAGTCATGTCTGTGTCTGGTGAGTGGGTAATTTTCAAAACTGTGAGAAAACTTTTCTTCGGCTTCTTCTTGTTCTGATTCTTTCATTCCAGATTGAGTCTGAACTTTCCTGGGATCTTTGGAGCCGCTGGAGCCATTTTCTTCTCCAGCATCAGTATGACTGGGCCTGTCTGTGGATGAGGTTTTTCTTACTCTGATTCTGAACGCTCAGCCACGGTGAGAATTAGAAATACACTGTAAAACACTTGAAGGTGCTTTAACTTGAAAATGAACGTCCACCTGCTGCCGTGAAAATTCTGTTTAAAATTTCTGGTTTTTACTCAGAAATTAAAGTTCATGAAGTTGATTTAACAAAAGGAGACAAACAATCGAATTCATTCAACTTGAACTGAGTTTTAAATTAATCAATCAATTTAAAGCAAATAATTACTTTTTTCAGCAAATTTTCCGAACAAAGTAAAGTTTTTATGAAACACAATACCTTACAGAGATGTGCACAGCCTTCTAAGCCTGAACATTTTCTTATTTACATCATTACATGATTTACTCTCACATTAAGTATTTTTTGATTTTGATTTAAAACTTCTCATATTTGTAAAACAGTTGAGATGAAAAAAATTCTGTTTAGAATTTATTTCTTTTGTACAATGATAAATGAAACTCAAACCAACATTTTGAACAATTAAAAAAGTTAATGTTTCAATTCATAATTTTTCATGTTTCTGTGACATAATGCAGTTTGAACCACTACAAATTAAATTGATTGATTGATTATGTTTTTTCCTGTTGAGCTCCAGTGAACTGTTACAGACGACCAACCAAGAATCACAAAAGTTTCCTTTTGTGATTTCCTTTGTTTCTACCAGACCGGCGAATGCAAAAGCCTGATGTTCTGCACCAGTTCGTTCCCACTGCTGTCATCTCAGCTGAAAATACCAGTAATGTGTGAAATCAGAGATAGTCCAACTCTGCTTCCTCTTGAATTGTCATCGGCTGATGAAACATGAGAGCCTGATCAGAACGTCAGGAGGGAAACTGCTGACATTAAATCTCTGGCTTGTTTTTCACGAAGTTGGATCTTCCTCTTTCACATCAGGAGTTCAGTTTCCGGTGAACCGAGCCAGAGGAAGCTCTGGTCAGGAGCTTTCTTCTGTTTTCTTTTCAAAATGAAAACATGAGTCAGATCTGATCTTTTTTGATACAAACTGAGTTCATGTTTGTTGTGAATTTCAGAAAAAAAGACCCTGATTTTTCGTTAATAATATTTTCAGGAGGTCATGACATGTGTGACATGTCACACATGTCAAAGGCCTGTCAAAGGCATGTGACTTATTTAATAATTTCTTCTTGTGGGTTTTACCTGCTTTATGTCCGAAATTATGCTTTTGGTGATGTGGGAGGAATCCAGAGTAAAGAGAAAAACTCCCAGATATCTTCATACAATGTCACACATGTCAAAGGCCTGGGGGCCACATCTGGCCTCAAAGGCCTGGGGGCCACATTGGCCTCAAAGGCCTGGGGGCCACATTGGCCTCAAA